ATTATTCTCAATTTCGTGTATAATATAGTATATATCATATATGTGTAAGTATATTTGTTATTCATATATATTTATTCGTTTATATATGTAATTTTAGTATGTATGTATATCAATAATTACTAGTACCGCATTCGAGTATTCTGACACTTCCCTACGGTTGACTGGGAGAGAATGCTTTTAGCATTAAGTCAGCCATGTACCCATATTTGTACTAATGAATAAATAAAATTTACTGGGTACAGAGGAATAACACCTGAGTCCCCAGGAATGGCAACGCATGGGGGGTATCATGGGCGAAACAGTATAGTCTGTTATGTCCATGGCACTGTTCATGTCTATAAGCGACGGTTACCACTTTCCATCAGGTGGGCCGTCAGCTTGTTTGCCATTCTAAGTTGTATAAAAAAAAACACTACCCCTTCCTACATAACACCTCTGTCCCAAGGGATACCGTGAATATCATACTTTATTCAGACATATTTATAATGTTGATAAAATGTAAATTGAACGATTACCAGTTTTTTTTATAGGTAAAAATGGTATGGTAACCCCGCCTGCGCTAACGGGATACGCTGGCCGAGCACCAGTGAAGGGTGATCGATGAGAATGAAAACAGACCAGTTAGCCCATCATGATGAATTCATCAGGAATTAACCATGATAATTTCCAAGGGGAACCACGAGGATGTCGACCTGGTTGGGTATATTGCTAGCAGTGGAATTCTCAGTCTCCATTACTAACAATCCCTTTCCCCCCGAACGATTACCAGTTACCATCAGGTGGACCATCAGCTCGTTTACTATTTCACGTTGTATAAAAACCAAACCACTCTCAAATACAATTCTGTAAGTACATTTTGTTTGTCATGTATATACATCAGTATTTTGTTGAATTTTATCATCTAGAGTTGAGAAGAACTAGCAAGAAACAAGACTATGAATGGCTTATGTTCACTATGATAATGATTAGCTGAATTAATAATGATAGGGGGGGAAGGGATTGTTAGTGATGGAGACTGAGAATTCTATTGCTAGCAATATACCCAACCAGGTCGACCTGGAAACTATCATGGTTAATTCCTGATGAGTTCACCATGATGTGCTAACTGGCTTGTTTTCATTCTCTTCTGTCACCCTTCACTGGTGCTCCGCCAGCGTATGCCGTTAGCGCAGGCGGGGTTACCATAACATTTTCACCCATCAAAAAAAAATGATAAAAATATTGATAAAAAAACTGAGAACATTCATCTATACATATCTAGTGACAAAAAAAAAAAAATTACAAATTGTCCCGTCCCGAAATCAATCGGAACCTCATTTATGCGAAGTAACGTCCAACCACTGCACAACGCCCAGGGGAATTTATCGACGGGCGCGACCAGTATAAGTACAAACAAACATACAAACAACTTTTGTAAATAATTTTTATTTAATTGCACTTAAAGCATAAAATATACGTTCCTATGTACCGTAAAATAAATTGAAATAATATCTACCCTTAATATGGTGATAGAGTAAAAATATTTATACTCTATCTATAAGCTGACTGAGCACCAGTGAGAGATAGGTGGGAATGAAACGGCAGGTCAGTTAGCTCATCGTGATGAATACACCTTGAATTCATCAAGATGGTTTTCTAGGGGGAACCATGTGGAGCTCAAAATGACAGGGCATATTGCTATCAATGGGACTGGTAGTCTGCATTACTAACAATCCCTTCCCTCCGGTAATAGAAGGTTAACGATATCTTTCTTTTATGGGGATCTAATCTATCTTCTACCTTTTTTTATGGGTGAAAATGGCATGGTAACCCCGCCTGCGCTATCGGTATTCACTGGCGGGGCACCAGTGAGCGGTGATAGGTGAGGATGAAAAGGCAGGTCGGTTAGCCCATTGTGACGAATTCAATGACAAATTGCTCATGATAGTTTCCAGGCGTAACCGCGTGGAGGTCGCCCTGATAGAGAATATTGATAGCAATGGGGACTAACCTCCCCGTTACTAACAATCTCTTCCCCCCTTTGTCTACCTTTGGGACAATAACACTGCCAACTCAACCACTTCACACCGCAACAGCATTTATATTGTTTAAAATCAGTTCGCAAATGGCGGAGACAAAAATTATACTATCAAGGAAATGTCATTAATTGTAATATAACGTAATGACAAGCAAAATTATTTTGTTTCTGTACAAGATACACGTGTACATACGGTCGTGTCTACAAATCGTTGTAGTGACAAGGCGCTAAATTGTTTCAATTCAAACACGTAACAAAACACGCGCGGCCCGCGACCCGCGGCACCGTGCGGGCCCGTGCGTACGTACCGTGACACGCGCTGTTGACACGATATAATTCGTGCGGTTAATTATTCCCGCGTTAATATTGGCGATAATTAATCACGTGCTCTCTAAATGCTGGGTTTAGCACAATTTCGGTCACATTTTCTTTCAACATGATAACAATAAGCGCCACGTGATCACACCAATGATAGATAGATAGATAGAGTCTTTATTACCACCAATAATAGCTAAAAAACAACAATAACAAAGAGAAAAAAAAAAAAATATTTTGCTGGTTGCTGGAGCCGCCTCAGCTGTTGCTATATATGTACACCTCCAGCGAGATGTACCTATACAGCGCTGATTTTCAGACGGCCCTTTAACTCATTTAAATTTAGCATTCGTGCGGGTCGCCAATACCCTGATTCTCAAGCTAACGCATCATGTGTGGGGGAAAGGGATTGTTAGTAATGGAGACTGAGAATCCCATTGCTAGCAATATACCCAACCAGGTCGACCTCCTCGCGGTTCTTCTTGGAAACTATCATGGTTAATTCCTGATGAATTCATCATGATGGGCTAACTGATCTGTTTTCATTCTCATCTATCACCCTTCACTGGTGCTCCGCCAGCGTATCCCGTTAGCGCAGGCGGGTTACCATACCATTTTCATCCATCAAAAAAAAAACGCATCATGTGTTACATACATATAACATTTATTTATGGTATCACTTAAAGAATTATATATATCACACTTATGAGATAAAAGTCAGTCTTATCACTAAAGCAATCTTCTCCAGACAACCTTTGGATAGAGGTTTGGATAGAGAAAAGAAAATAATGGTAGCTATTTGGCTCAAGAAGTGTAATAAACAAAAGATATCTGAACACTACGCAGAACTCCCTGTTAGTTCTGTTCTGTTCTTTGTGAACTTGTATATTGTATATCCATCGAAGTAATGAAGATTCTGTTACACAAAACAATGGCGGAATGAATGTATGGTACTAGCGAGTCACCCGGCTCCATATGGGTAGATAAGTAGAAAGATAAATTATTAAATTATAAAAAAAACCAGCGGCCCGCCTTGGCTTTGCACGGGTGGGCATTTTACACTTTTTAACATAATATTTTTCGAATGGAATATACATTGAAAAATTCAAAAATTAATCTGCAGGTATTGAAACAATTTTGAATACAAAATAATTTATTTGTATACCATAAGGATTTAAACAGAAGTATGAATAACAATGGTGTAATTTTGGTCGGTATTTTTATCAACTTTTAAAATGTAAAAAGCGGTTATTGTGACATAATGATAATAGTTAGACATAAAGTGTCGCGAAGTTTTTTGTAGTTATTGATATTTTCTTCAATATTGTAGAACATACTTTTGTTCTATCACCAATAGTTTCCGCAGCGCACGCGGCGAAAGATATTTTATAGCATTTTTTTACACCTTGAGTTACATTACTAAAGTTTTAGTAAGGAACACTAAAGTTTTTTAGCAATAAATATAGCCTATATTACTCAGGGTGAATGTAGCTTTCTAATGGTGAAAGAATTTTTGAAATCGGCAAAGTAGTTTTTGAGTTTATTCATTACAAACATACATATAAAAATACAAATCTTTCCTCTTTATAATTCTAGTGTAGATATACAGCACATGTTCATCATCATCATCATCATCATTTAACTGTCCACTGCTGAACATAAGCCTCCCCCTTGGAAGGGTTTCGCCAGTAGTTGCAACGCTTGACAGGTGGATTGGCAGCCGCAGTTAGGCTTTTGAGATGTTTTAAGAGGGACGCTGCTGCCCATCCCTTAGTCTCCTTTTACAACACCCTCGTGAAAGGAAGGGGTAGCTTATTCTATGTACGCAATACAGCATTCTATAGGTGTTTTGTTTTTAAATCGGTTAGGTATTTTATTGAATTTATTCATTACAAACAATTAAGATTAAATAACTCTACGCTGATGAAAAATTTATATATATATATTAATAATCACAACTTTTTTCTGTACATATTTTATGTTATTGTATCATTCTTTAACGCGAAATGGAGGTAACATCCTGCGTGGTGTTGCTTGTAGTTTAAATTGGCATACTAATAAACATAAAACAAATAATAAATAGGTCAAAAGTCACGTGGTAGCCGTTTTATCAATAATCACAAAAGACGGTTCCCACAATGTCATAATAAGCACTTACGTTCGTGGCCCACTCTTTGGTGCGCTTGATCACGTCTCGACCGTTACCGTCCGTCTACAGATCCTACCATGATAGCTTAGCTACCATTGAGTGCATGCTCTACTAAAATTCTATTAGACAGAAAGGGGTACCGTTAATTCTGGTAACAGTTTGGATATTTCAGATAGAAACCATTTTACCAGAGGGTGACTTTGTACAAAAGTCGTTTGCTTGGGTACCTCTGTCCCATTATTGTTTCAACCGTAAAGCAGTTGTGTCCATGGCTGTGTTTTAGTTTGAAAGGTGGGATTTGGCGTGAATTTACAGAGCACAGAGGAATAACACCTGAGTCCTCAGGAATGGCAATGCATGGGGGGTATCATGGGCGAAACAGTATACTCTGTTATGTCCATGGTACTGCTCATGCCTATAGACGACGGTTACCACTTTCCATCAGGTGGGCCGTCAGATTGTTTGCCATTCTAAGTTGTATAAAAAAAAAGGATTGTTCCTGTAAAGCGGTATACTCACGGCACGATTGGAACTCGTCCTCTCCCTTGTCGCAGTCACGCTGGTAGTTGCACACCCATAACGCCGGTATGCACTTGCCCTCAGGACATTTGAACATGCCATTTGGACATATTGTGTCGCCTGCAACAATAATACACTACAATTAATAAAAAAAAACCTATCATTACTCTCATGTGGATGTATACTACATAAACAAATACAGTACAGTAGACAGGGGGGAAAGGGATTGTTAGCAATGGAGTTTGACAGCTCCATTGCTAGCAATATATTATGTCGACCTCAACGTGGTTCCCCCTGGAAACCATCGTGAACAATTCTTGTTAAATTCGTCACGATGGGCTAACTGATCTGCTTCATCCTCACCTACCAACCTTCACTGGTGCCCCGCCGGTGTATCTCGTTAGCGCGGGCGGGGTAACCACTCCATTATCACCCATTAAAAAAGTACAAATATACACATACACATGCACTTAGTAGGTTTTGATGGGTGAAAATGGATACCCCGCTTGCGCACGCTGGCGGAGCACCAGTGAAGGGTGATAGATGAGAATGAAAACACTAGTTAGCCCATCATGATGAATTCATCAAGAAATAATCATGATAGTTTCACCCATAAATAAGCAATTTGATTCTCAGTCTCCTATCCCTTTCCCCCCACATGTCTAGTAGGTATTGTAGTGGGAGCGAGAGAGATATACATCCTAGATGTTTGTATATTTGTTACCCAATAAAGGGATTCTTAGTAATGGGGTCTAACTGACCCATTGCTAGCAATACAGCAGATAGCAGTTCGACCTCCATGCAGTTCCCCCTGCAGACCATCGTAGTTAATTCTAGTGGAACTCGTCATGATGGGCTAACTGACTTGATTTCATTAACACCTATCATCCCTCACTGGTGCCCCGCCAGCATATACCGATAGCGCAGGCTACCATTCCATTATCACCCATAAAAAAAATACACGATCTAAAGATTGCACGTAGTTAAACGACACCCGGCGTACGAAGAGGTCACATGCCAACTTAACTCACGCTATATATTTATACATTTGGACAAATCAGCGGGAAGAAACTAGTAAAGATCAAAAACAGGACTAGAGGTCTTTATTATAGATACTCAGGAATGGCAACGCATGGGGGGTATCATGGGCGAAACAGTATACTTTGTTATGTGCATGGTACTGCTCACGTCTATAGGCGACGGTTACCACTTTCCATCAGGTGGGCCGTCAGCTTGTTTGCCATTCTAAGTTGTATAAAAAAAATCTAAGATTATTACATTATAAAATTATTATTCGAATGAAAAATAGAAATTAAATAAAAAAGTAGAAATTTGTGCAAATAAATATTATTTTTACTATTTTCAAAGTTCTAAATCACCATAATTATATCAACCGTCAACTATTGCACCAGAAACATAAAAATAACATAAATACAGATTGAAATATCCACATAAAGGTACAAAAGGCGGTCTCATCGCTAGGGCAATTTCTTACAGACAACCTTTGGTTGAAGGAGAACAGATAGAAATGGGTAGGGGGCGCAATAGTGAGATAGGTTAAGTTAGGCTTCCGCTAGTAGTTGTTATGCTTGACAGGTGAGTTCGCTAACGCAGTCAAGCTTTAGTGATGTTTTAACAGAGACACTTCTGCCTACCCCTCGACGTTTAAATTCCCTTAGTCGCCTCTTACAACACCCATAGGAAAGCAAAGTTCTAATTATCTCCCATAAATAGGAGATGAAAGTGATTTCATCTCCTATTTAGGGAATTAAATTTCATAGTGCCTTTTCAAGTGTTTACCTATTGTGCAAAAATGCATACTTTCAGACTCCATCTTGGCATATCCGTCGATAGTTTTGTGTCGAGACATCAACCAGTATTAGTGGGTATCGACTCGTGTAATCTGGACTTGTTTTTTGTAACGTTACGTTCAGCTAACGAAGCCACAAAAGCTTTTTGTTCCAAATAAAGGAAGCAATGAGAAACAGAGCAACGAAACTATGAATGCGATCGGAAACATCATTGGATATACAATGGCCGTACACAAAGGCTACACCTCTGCACCATTGTTGCACTCCGCCGCCGCTGTTCCGCACCGAATATATTACGGGCCAAAGCTTATAAACACACAAACTATGCCACTTTTACACACATACATTCAAATTACACTCTATACGCAGGGAGCACATTTTTTTCACAATTTTCATTACTACCAATAATTATAATTAGTTTAATTAACTTTATATAAAAATCAACATTCTATATGTAGCACTAAAAACTTTGCTGAGCTAATATTATAGTATCTATTGAGGGTTGAGCGCTGTTGTCTGAGATACAGGTTTTATAACCTAGTTCAGACACAGATGTTTAAACTTGTCCAAATGTACAAATGAATACGTACCTACTTCTACTGTAATTTCCAGTGCTGAGTTTGTTACAGTCATGTTTATGCAATAAAGTTATTATTATTAGTATTGTAATTGACGAAAACAATTCGTTAAAACTAGTATTTATTAATATGGACTCAAAGAACTTTATTTAGAAGAAAAAAATAAAAATAAAAAAAAAATCTAGAAGAAAACTAAAAACTAAATAATTTTAAGCTTGCATTTGAAAAGGAATCAACTTTATTATCAACGTTATTTTTATTGAAAAACTACGCTACTTTTGCTAGACTGCATTTGATGAGACCAATCAATTTCTAAATATATGTCCTTTCAAATAAAAAAAATAATTTTACAAGTCCGTTTAGAAAAAATAGAGTTTCGAGGTAACAAACACAAAAAAAAACAACCGAAATATCTCTCTCTTTTTTGAAGTTGGTTAAAAATAAATTAAGTAGATCGGAAATAAAGGATCAACTGTTTCTGCACCAATGCCAGCATATAGTACAAAATATGTACTTTCTGAGACCCTGTTAATAAATACTGACACTAGTTTTGGATTTGGATGGCTTTCGTTAATTAACTTATTGAGGTAGATTTGAGATCACACCGAAATATTTACTGTAAACACAAATATGAATTAATTTTCTAATACACTGAAGTTAAAACTATTATAATTTTAGTTTATTATTGTCCATTAAAAGAGTTATTTAGCGAAATTATCAAATTAAAATGTTAGTCTAAGAGGTAAGTTTTGAAAAATGGCGATATCGAATCGACTCGACGTAGAATCGACGCCAATGTACGAGGTTTGTCCGGAAAGTACGTATAAAAGTTTTTAAAAATTTTATTTTACAATTATTTAAATTACTCCCCCTGTGACATAATGAAACGTTTCTTCAAGTCCTCTGGTTGTAGGTTTCTCAGCTGCCCCGTCGTAGCTTTTTTTATCTTATTTATGTCCCCCAAATGCCGCCCCCGAAGTACCAATTTGGTTTTTGGGAACAAGAAGAAGTCACACGGGGCCAAATTTAATGGAATTTTTATCAAAAACTGAATTGTCGTGGTGAAGAATCCAAAATTTGACTGTCTGACCGTTAAACGACGGAACAAGTTCGAATTCTTTCCACGTTTTCGTCGGAATGTGAAGTGGAAGGACGTCCTGAACGTGGGTCATCTTGAACGCGTTCTCGGCCCTCTCTGAATCTTTTTAGCCACTTGTGGACGGTTGGTTCCTTCACAGCATCATCCCCATAAACTGTTCTGAGATCGGCAAAAATTTCACGGCCATTCTTGCCGAGTTTCGAGAGAAACTTGTGCTCTTCAACGGAAGCGGGCTCCATGCCGACGGGGTTTCGTTAAGAGGTAACTTCACAGATGGCGTGACAAGGCGCACCGCACGGCGGTCAGACCAGAACTGAAGCATTGTTAGGGACATAAGGAAGGGGTCCTGCGCTTACCAGGCCTCCCCACTCCTCTTTCTCGCATTCAGAACACTTTTATACGAACTTTCCGGACAGACCTCGTATATCAAGTATTTTTATCTATGAAACGTCTTCAATCGTGAACATTGTACACTAATAAACGTTACATTTAAAATATTGAATTTAAAATTTGAATTAAGAACGCGATGTCGAGTATTTCAAATAGATTTTCTTTACAGTTTTTTGTATGACAAATTTCATAGTGCTCGAGTTGATCTTTGAAAGCGCCAAGATGCACCTAACAAGTTCATTTTCACATATATAAATTATAGACTTTTCCTATAACATCATCCACGTAATCTTGATAAGAAGTAAGCTTCTCTATTCTAAATATTACCTACCTATAGGCCAAACTTACTAAAATTCGGTTGAGCCGTTAAGGAGCTAAGAGATAACTACTAAAAAAAATCTCTTTCTTATTTGAACATTAGTAAGGACCGGTAAGAAATGAAATCAGCGATAGAAATGTTCCTAGAATAATTACACCAGACGACTTCACAGTTCTTCCGGGGGGACTGGATTTCTGGAATATTCGTCAAACGACGATCAGAAAGATAAGCGACGTTAATTTGAATTAAGTGGAAAGTTTAAATTAATTTTAGTGAAGGCTTTTGAGGTTTGGACGAAGGCTGCATGGAGGGTCCATGGATTTGTAAATTAATTATTTGAATGGTCGAACGATTATTATTTGATGATATATTCCGTTTCAATGCAACTTTCTTTTTTTATACAACTTAGAATGGCAAACTGTTCCCTTTGAAAGACGCTTTAAAATTTCGTTGTGCTAAGATCATTAACTTAATTTACGAGTATTAATAATTCATTTTATTTGTTAATAATAAAAAATTGATTAGATGACTGTCATCATTGTGTTCTCTTTTATTTGATATTTATAGCACTACTACTGCCCACTCATTACTTCATATGCAACTGTGTTAGCTTGACTGGAAGAAATAAGTTCGCCTTTGCTAACACTGTTATTACTGTAGGTTTATATATATGTAAAATTTGCATCAAAAATATTAATATATTCGTCGAATAAGTGCTAATAGTGATCTTACAGGCATTATATAATGTGAGGTCTTGTTACCTACAGTGAAGCGTACCTTAATTTAAGCCAACATACGAGTAGACGCCTACTAGAAAATACAAATTAAATTTGTACATATGGTATATAGATTATTACATCTCCCTATTATTAATATAATATGTTATTAATAGTATAAAATTAAATACTAAATTATGCCTAAAT